ATGGGGGGGGGGGGGGGGCTCAGATCGTGGAAAACTTGTAAGAAGCTGGGGATGGTGTGTGGAGGGTGGCTTGGGGACAGAGTTCTGCAATGGCATCAGGCTCACCTCCTTAGAGATCGTGAGCAGAGTTCCCAGGGTACAGCTTAGGTCCTGGTGACTTTGTCCTCTCTCACCCTGACCCTGAACACCCCTCCCTCCCTGAGTCTGTCCCCGCTTGCTCCTCACATTGCACTTCCAGGTACATGGACTGGGAATCCTGGCCAATAGTGTTGCTGGCGGTGCAGATATACTCTCCGGCGTCTGTGTACTGGATGCTCTTCAGGGTCAGGGAGGACACACGGGCATGGCTGCGCACCACCATGTGCCCATCCAGAGTCTGTCAGGAGGGAAGAGAGAGAGAGTCAGACCCTGATGCAAGGCAGATGGCCATGGCAGCTCTGGCAGGATGGGGGCTAGGAGGCTAGGCCACTGCTGTCTGTGACCCGTCTCACATTTCTGCTCTCTGTGCCAACATCTAAGTTGTACCTAATCCAAGAGGCTCTGGGGAGTACCAGGGGAACTTGGGTGTCTCCAAAACAGAAAATGAGACTCAGTTATATCCAGAGGACTGACTAGGTACCAAAATTGGTGCGGGATAAGGACAGGCTAGGTCCTTCAGGACAACTTTGCTTGTGATGTCTAAAATAGAAGCAAATGCAGATATCCCAGCAGCAACAGCCTTGCCTCGTGAGATTCTGAAAAACCTGCACTCGCATCCTTCCCTTCAGGTCTGCCCATCTGCCAGTTCCACGGTGCATGCACATGTAATGTAAGAAATTATACAAGAAACTCCTCTGTCTACAGATGCCTCACTTCCCTGGTTGCTTACAAGTAAAATATTCCCATTAAAAAAAAAAAAGTCAAACAAGTCAAAGTTCAGGAGCTGTTGAGCTGGAAGGGAGAATAACTGGGTCCTCTCTCCAGGAGCAGCAGTACAGAGAACCCCAGGCAGATCTGGGACCCCACACTCCACAGTTATCACAAGTTCTATCCTTGACACTGCAGTTGGGCTCCTGAGTCTCTGGAATTACAATGATGGATCAAAAAGAGAATACACATATGATCCTTAGGAAGTACATACTGGAATATTTCCAAGGGGCTTCCCCTCTTGAGATTCTAAATGAAATGGCTGTGGGCCCAGGAAGAGTCTGGGCACATGGCCCAAGTTTAGGTCTTCAAGAAAGCTGGTAATCTGAAGAAGAGGCTTTGCTCTTTATTAACTGGGCTACTCTTTTATCTCTAATATATGACACTCTGTAGAGACAGACAAGGGAGTTCTCTGCATCTGGCATCTGCCATCCTTTGGGGTCGGGTCTTTAAAGCATGAAAAGACACTTGGCTTTGAGTCCTTTCGATATCCTGGTTTGGAAACCTGAAGCCTGGAATTATAATGTCATATGGCAGCTGATCTGGGAGGCTCAGAAGCAAGGAACTATTGGCCTTGCTTCTATATATGAAACCCCTTTTACCATCACCAACAGATCTCATCCATGTCAGTCATCTAAGCTCACCCCATGCCATGTCCTGGAGCTAGAGCACGCTGCTAATAAGGACAGCAGGCAAAACCAGACTGTGGCACTCGCTGCTGAGAGCCCGCTGCTTTGAGGAAGGCTTCCATGCCCCCTCTGAGCTGTAAATCTTGGAGGCCGGCTGGCTGAGAAGTCACATCTCAGGAGATGCCACACATTACTGAGAGATGCCAACAGGCAGGTGCAGAGCACTTCCCACGAGTCTCAAGACAACCATTTTGCCCGAGACACTAGACCCTGGGACCCCTTTTCTTGTGGGCTGACAGTCTATGCTACTACATCCCAGTGGCTATTTACATATGCTGTACAAAATCTCTACCGATCAGTTCACGCTAGTGGCATTGAGAGAGTGAAGACATACACGCAGGTATTTCTAAATGACTGACCTGATCTACTTGTCACTCCTATTTGCATAAAACACAGCCAGACTAAAAGCAGAGGGGACTTGAGGTCTACCCCTGCCCTTTCTGGTCATCTCAGTGATGCCAACCAGTGACTGAACTACGATTCTTTGTGACACAGACAGGACTTGCCCTGGGGCTGCCACGCACAGACCCGGACATCTGGTCAAAATCCTCAGGAAGTCAAGGGAATATTCCCATAAGGAAGAGATGTTGCAACAACAAGGCAAAGAAAGCCATGTAGGTAAAGGGCAGGACATTAATACGAACGAAGCAGGTGAGCACTCTTTACTCAGAACAATCTAGAAGATGGCTGAAAGAAGCTCGGGAAATGACTGCAATAACAGCCATATTTATTTTTTCTTCCTAGCTGGTTTCTTTCCTAAAATTTCTCTATGTGGAAATTTTTGTCATTGAATGAGGTCAACAGAGCAACAGACAGCCCTCCGAGGAGGATTCTTATCTTGCACTGGCTCACTACAGTCTGAGGTGGAGATTATCTGCTAGATACCCAGTTCTCTTTTTGAGGCTGTGCAGAAAAGACTCTGATGTCATTGGATTTTCTCCCCCTTTGCTCCGGCATCAGAGCAATGTCAGGGAGTGCTACCAACAAGCCATGAGGATCCAGTGATACTGGCTGTCTATTTGCTCGTGGAGGAAGCAGATGAGCTCCAGGTAAGAGTACAAAGATCATGATGCCAAGACGACCCCTCCTTTCACAAATGCAGGGAGGGCACTAGTTACTCTTCTCATCCAAACACACTTGTCTCCAATCCTCTACGTAGAACTGCTAAGGCTTTCCAGAGCTTGCGGAATGAAATAGGCCATAACCCAAGCGTCTAACATGCTCATTTGGACTTATGATCTTCGTCTCTGAAAGAGACAAACAGGGGGAGAATGGAACTTCTGAGGGCTGGGGGGTGGCATTCACTTCAAAGTCAATTTTGTCCAACGTGAGATACTCAAGATAAGGATACTTCTGGAACATGGGAGTGAGGTGTCGACTTTCCTGGGAGTAAATCTATTACTTCCACCTATAATGACAATTTTCTTAACATCTTCTTAGTGCTCTCTGATAAATCCCAGCTCCTCCTCTAGCCAGGTCTAAATCAGAATGACAGGGAAGATGTACGAGGCCTAGAGGAATGAGATCTGCAGGGGTTTAAGAGTGGCCAATAATTATCTTTTCTCTCCCTTCCCCAATCCCAATGGGCCAGGGACTTTGGAGCAATAAAACTCCCAACTCGCGATAACGCTAAGAGATTCCTGTGCCGGGGGAAACCTTTTGGTGAGGATGTGTACGCGCCACAGTCCCTAGGACAAGAAGGAAGGTCTGATGCGGAGGGAGCTAACAGGCAGCTGGATTTGTTGAGGGCAGCATGTTTATGTGCAGAAACTAACAACTCTGCTGGGGGACAGGCAGTCAGCTTTTAAATATTAAACAGCATTAAACATTTATAGCCATGACCTGAACACATGAGTTCTGTGTTCTGAATAATTATCATTCTTGAAAGACTAAGAGAGTAGATCCATCAAATTAAAATACAGTCTATTGGATTACCATATTCTGCATTTATAGCATTAGAATATCAAAGTTCCATCAGGAGAAGAGAGAAAAACCTACTTTTAAAAAATTAGGTATAGATGAGGTCCTTGAACTCATCTAAAGTATAATGTTTATTTCACATGACTCAATCACACGACTCAGGTAAAAATTGATAGACATGATCGTAAATTGTAAATAGGGTCTTGGGTGTAGCAGTGAAAATCTAAAGATTAATACTTAGCTTCAGTTTTCAAACTTAGTCCCACGTTACCCGAACTGAAGCAAATAGACAAATTTCTAAGGCTAAATGCTGCTGACTTTAAAAATCATAAACTCATTTGTACCAAATCATCTTAATCTCATAAATTTAATGCTCTACATAAGTAGCGTAGATACATTTTGCAATTTGGGAAAACCAACAAAATGCCATCTGCATTGCTTTCGAGATGAAATGTGATGTGCTAATTTACCAAGACCAGTCATTATAAAATAAGTGAGCAACAAGATGAGTTGAGCTGGAAGGGGAAGGGCTAAGCGGGTTCCCAGTTCACTAACTCTGTGACTTTATGGTTCAAAGCCACATTGACCACGTGAGAATCAAAAAGAAAATTTCATCATTTCAAAATGCCTGGCCTGGGAATGGGGCAATTTATTTCTGTCAGTATAATTACCTGGAAGTGATTTGACCAGCACCAGCAAGAGAATAAGATCCAGTTTTAGGAAATAATAAAGATTTGTTCGTCCACTCCCAACACAGCTTGCTTGCTCATCCTAAAATGACACTATTGCTAAGTCATGTCTATCACTATTGACCTATTCTTTAATCTAACTAAATGACTAATTAGTTTAGCACGTCTGGTTATTACACTGTGATGGTGAGTTAAACTGTCATGCTTTCAGAACTAAAGACTGGCTAGTGGTCAGGTAAGCTATACCTCTTGTTTCTCTGGTCGAGTCCACGAAGCCTGGAGAGAACAAGATATAAAACACAACAAGAAAGCAGTAAAATTTTACAACGTGTTGCTTTAGAGAATCGATGCATCACATTGCATCCCGTGCACATGCAGCTTCTTTTTAATCCAGAACTTTTCCAAGGCCCACTTTCAATGGTGTGTTTATTACCCAGTTTAATTTGGGGTTTAGCTTATGTTCAGCTTTCTCCCCCCCCCCACCCCCTTATGCACATTCAAATATACAATTCAAAGAGAAAGGCTTTCCTGATCTTTGGTAGATATTTATATATATGGACACCAGCAGGCATGTTAAGACTGCTCCTGTTCCAAAACATCTTAAATATTCCTTGTAGTGTTTGATGACACTATTGTTCTAACCACATAACCTAGAGATAACTTAGAGAGTTGGTTGCCTCCTTTGGATTTTATTAGACAGCTATCACAGATATACTAATGCCATTTTATGCTCATGCATTTTATAGCTCTTTGCATGCATCCTATAAGAAACACATTTTTATTGGAAAAAAAGGAACAAAGCCAGGAGCAGAGAGGTACATTAGGAATGAGAAGTATGACATCCTTGAAGCTATGGGTCAGGAAGCTCTGAAGATACCAAATGCTGGGTGACAGAGGTAGGGCTCCAATCCTTAAAAGCAGGGAATGTGCAGACGGCATGTGGTTTCAAGCATGTACCATTTTCATCAAACATGGTATTCACAAGGGAGTGAGCCAACTCAGAGATACAGAGGTCTGGAGGATATTTCACCTATATTTGCATTTTGAATTTAGCTGGCACTTGAGGATCTACTCTGTTTGCATTTTTTCTTTCTGTTTTCTTATTATGTGCCAAAGATATCATAGTTGTATTGTTCTTTTTATTAGGTGGACAATTGTCTGATGGTCCCTGT